AATATCAGATATTTTGCATAATAGGAGCCAATCACAAAGAAGCATAGACAATGTTGTAAACCAGTCTGAACCCAAGCTTCCAACTTCAAACCTCAATCCAAGAGCACAAGCTTTCATCATGCCACAAGACACCTCTATTGGGCAACCTACCAACATTACGACACAGGAAGATGGAACAGCAGTACTAGCTAAGGTTTTAGCAGAGACCATCAGCATTAGCCGGCTACCAGTTCCTGAACCTGCTGTTTTCAATGGTGATCCAATCAAATACAAGGACTGGAAAATTTCCTTTCAAATGTTGATTGAAAGAAAGAACATTCCAGTGGGTGAAAAGATCTACTACCTACGAAAGTATGTTGGTGGTCCTGCAAGAAAGGCAATCGAAGCTTACTTTCTACTGGGAACAGACACAGCATATCAGTCAGCTTGGAACATTCTAGAGGAAAGATACGGAAGTTCATTCATAATCGCTAAAGCCTTCAGAGATGAGCTCTCATCATGGCCGAAAATTGGAACAAAGGACTGTATTGAACTGAGAGAGTTCTCTGATTTTCTCCGGGGTTGTGAAGCAGCAATGTCTCAGATAAAGAGTCTCGAGGTTCTAAATGACTGCAGTGAGAACCAGAGAATGCTCAACAAGTTGCGTGATTGGCTTACAGCAAAATGGAATAGGCAAGTCATTCAGATTGAGGTGGAGACAGGTTCATTTCCAACATTTAGCAACTTTGTTGACTTTGTCACAAGAGAAGCTACAATAGCATGTAACCCAGTGACATCGCTACATGCTCTCAAAGCAAATGATTCAGAGAAAGTGAAAACTTTAAAGGCTCAAAGTGTCGGTGCTAAGGCATTTGCAAGCACCACAGAAGAGAGAACAGAAACAAACAAATGTGTTTTCTGTGAAAAATTAAATCACAACATTCAGAATTGTCGGAGGTTTATGGAGAAAGCCATACCTGAAAGAGTGAAGTTTATGAAATTAAAAAGATTATGTTTCGGATGTCTCAGTTTTGGACACCAATCCAAAAAATGTGAAAGGAGAAGTATTTGTAAGACCTGTAAGGGAAAACACCCAACATGTTTACACGAAGAACGAGACA